AACAGTCACTGCTAGTATTAGTGGGGATAAATGGTGCACCTCCACGTAAGGCACATAAGGGAAATGAATGCAACATGTTTATAGTAATCAGTCATTAGCGAATGTTGTAGTTCGTTATTAATAATTATGTATAACAGGATCTTGTAAAAAGTAAGTTATGAAATTTTTATTAAAACGTTTCTTCCATACCGTTATATTCACTGGGCTGCAAAAATATCCGTTGTTGGCCGCTTGCGGCCCATGGGCCAAGAGTTTGACATGCTTGATTTCAACATTTGCTGGGGTGGGCATCTCCAGTCCGCCAGTTTTTCCTGAGACCGCTTTCCATCCCTTACTGTCCATCTTGTGTATTTAAAACACTTAATCTATTTTCCTTTTTGTTTCTCCTTTAGTCCCCATATTCCTGACACTTCCAGTGCTAAACTTGCTAAGTTCGGCATTGAGAGACAGTGCTTTCATGTGAACAGATATCCCCATATTTTTAACAGACAGATTGACAAACAAATTTTGTGGCCTTGAATTTCCCAGATTTCCAATCTCCTGCTCTTTCTTATATTTATCTATTTCTGGCAGTCTTTCTAAGCTCTCTATTTATGCCAGAGTGGCTATTACTTATGCTACATTCATTAGCTCTGAAAATCAATTTCCATTCATTCATCGCTGAATAATGCTAGTTCTGTTCAGATTTGGTGTTGTCAACAGATGAGATAAATGAATCTATAAATCCTGGCCCCGCTCTGCCCACGGGTGGCAGGCAGGTTACTAGCAAAGCTCTCTTCTCAGTCTCCAGTTTCTAGCAAGCTTTCATTTTTGCTCTGCTAAGGAGATAACTTTCTTAACCCCCCCCTTTCCTGGTCTCTGGTGTCTGAACCAATATAGAACATTAGCTGTAGCTGCCGCTAGGACATTGAAGGATTTGAGGTACCAAACATATCTCCTCCCCCTACAGGTTCTGAAGCAAATAATAAAACCATTCAAGAATCAGATAAGTTCAAAATATCAAGGGTTGTTTGTTTGTTGTTGTTGTTAGAAGTTGGTTTGGAGACTGTGGCTGGGGTCTGAATATAAATGTGGCTTCCTAATACATCCCCCCAGTCACTGATAAACAATAGGCTGCCTCCCCCGCTG